GGGGGGGGGGCGCCGAGGCGGGAGCAGGGAGGGGGGAGTAAGGCAGCAGGGATGAATTTCCCGGAGCAGCTGCTCCGCCGTCCCGCCGGCTGGCGCGTCACGGGGCTCCCCGGCGTCGCGGAGGGAGGACCCCTCTAGACCGAAGGGAGAAGGCCGCGGGGCCAAAGACTGCCGGAGGGGACTCCGGGCTAGAGAGAAGAAGCGAAAGCGGAGGAGGAATGAGTGTGGCGAGCGGCGGAGAGTCCCTGAGTCCCGGCCCTTGGCTGCAGACGCCCGGATCGGAGCGAGCTCCGACGCGTAGCAGGGGCAGGCGCCGGCCGCTCCTCATCACGCGCCCGCCAGGGGTCTCTCAGCCGCTGCCGCCACCTCTTCAGTGCATGGAGTCGACGCGGACGGCCAGCTCCCTGCGCTGCCGCCGCCGCTGTCACCGCTCGGTGCCACCGCCCGCGCCTCCTCCGCCCCTTCGCCTCCGGGCTCCTCCCGCGCGGGCAGCGTCACCTCTCCGCCGCCCAGGCCCGGGCACAGGGGGCGCCCCGCGGGCGGCAGCCACCACCTCCCGAGCGCGACCTGTGGGCTGGGGCGGGGCGGAGAGAGGCGGAGGGGAAGAGTGTAAGCGAGTGAGTGGACGCCCGAGTTTGGGGCCGGGGGTGTGGAGGAGGTGAGCGTGTGGAGGGCGTGCGAGGCGTCGGGAGGGGGGGAGGAGGAGGGTGAAGGGCGGTGCTCGGCGGGTGTCAGGCCCTGAGGGGAGTGTGAGCTGGAGGGAGGGGCGCCCGTGGTGTGGGAGGGTGGGGGCCTGCTAATATGAAGTGGGGAGACGCTCGAGGTTTGGGACCAAGGTCCTGGAAGGAGGGAGGGCGTGATCGGGTGGGGTGGGGGCTCCCGAGTTGTCCAGGATGTGGGGCTAGAAACAGGGAAGAGCGAGGGAGGGGGGCGCGAGGGGGTAACCTGAGGGGAAGGGCGGGGGGTGGGGGTGGGGGAGCTGAGGAAGTTCTGGAAAACAGGACTGGTGGGATCCGAATACGTGGAGAGGAGGTAGGAGAGCGTGGTGAAGTGGGGAGGTGAGATTGGGGAAGTTAAGGTTTGTCTGAGAGGAGTGTGAGGATGAGGATCCCAAGAGGGGTGGGAGTGGGTTGTGAAGGTAAATGGACTAAGGACCATTCGGATGAGAAGGAGCCGGCTAGAGCCAAGGGCAGTCGCTCTAGTTCAGAGAAGAAGCAAGAGAAGCGAGGAGATCGAGTTAGTCTTGGAGTCTCAATCTCGAGGCACAGAGATAGGCTCGATGAGAGAAGATGAGAGTAGACAAAAAAACAGCCTCTGGAGAACTGCCGTGGCTGCCACCGCCTCAGCGCTCCCCGGGGCTGAGCGCCCTCCTGACAATCCTCCCGGTGGGGGGCGGGGGTGGTGATGAAGTGAGGCGAAAGTAGGCTGGGAGCTGGACACCAGGGATCAGTCTAAGCCTTGTGAATGACGGCGTGTTGGTGTGTGTGTGTGTGTGTGTGTGTGTGTGTACGTACGTGTACACACCCCTACCCCGCCTCCCACACGAACGCTCTTTCAGCTTTAGGCCAGATTATAGTCTGATGAGTATTATAAAGCCTTTGGGGTTTGTATTATATTTACTTTCTTGGTGTGTAGTAAGCTCTCTCCCTCCTCCCTCTGTCCCAAGGTACCATCTGACTAGCTCTCAATTTAAGAGCTGGGAAACACACAAAGCAGCCCTAAAAGTCTCTTGTGGTTTCTAACCTTAAATTTCTATTTTTCTTTTCTCCCATGCCTTGTAATTGGGAAGAAGGAGGAGGGAAAAGGTTATTTAAGTGCTTTCTTTAAAAAATATTATTATTATTAGTCACCTGCTTCAAACCAAATTCTCATACTCCAAATAATTCCATTTTCATCTCTTTGGAGCTGAGAACACCAGATGAAATCATAAGAATACCAATTTATTTCATTTTGTTTTGGACTTCGATAATTTTTATAAATATCTAATCCAACCTCATCATCCTATGCAAAACTGAGGACCAAGATTATTGTTGTTAGGTGCCATGAAGGCTGCTCCAACTCACAGCAACCCTTTGTACAACAAAATGAAACACTCCCTGGGCCTGTGCCATCCTCACAATCCTTGCTGTGCTTGAGCCCATCATAGCAGCCCCTGTGCCAATCCATTTCCTTGAAGATCATCCCCTTTTTTGCTGATCCTCTACTTTACCCATCTCCAGGGACTGGTCCCTTTTGATGACATGACCAAAGTAGGCGAGATGAAGTCTGGCCATTCTTGCCAAGATCAGGCAGCTAGTAAGTGGCAGAGCTGGGCACTAGAAGCTAGATACTTGTGTGTGTGTGTGTGAGAGAGAGAGAGAGAGAGAGATTTGGGTGAAAGTTTACAGAGCAAATTCACTTTCCATACAGCAGCTCACATACACTTTATCTCATGACATTGAGTGCAATTTCCCACAATGCAACAGCTCCCCTCCCACCTCCTCCCCATAGTTACCTCTTCCCTGTGTCCATCCCTCCATGCACTCCTGCCCCCTGAGCTGTCTCCCTGTGCATACACAGCCTTCTATTCTCCCCTGATTGTTCTCTCCAAGGAGTGTATCTACTTAATATAAATGTTCAGCTCATATGCCTGTATTTTGTTTGTCTGGAAGCCACAGGAACGGTAGAATCTAGATACTTTTACTCCAAGTTGAAACCATGGTGGTTTTCAACACGGGCTACACGTTAAAGTTACCTGGATATTTTTTAAAATATCACCTAAGACTAGAGGAAATGAATCAATGTCAGGGGTTGGGACCGTGACTGTGAAAGCCCTCCAAGTGGCTATAGCAGAGGTTAAGAACAGCACCGTGTGCACTGCCACACATAGAAGTTGAGGAGAAAAATCACAACTGAAAAGCAGGAAACAATCAAAAAGAACACTTCTTGAGAGAACTGAGGGGTTTTTTTACCTGAGATTGCAATGTTGCATATTTTCCACTATTATCCACGCTTTTCCTCTCACATGCAGTGAGAGGTACCAGCAAATACACATATCCATGACTTTATCCTTGGAAACCTTAAGAGTCATTAAAATGAACTAATTGTTCCTTTAAACAAGAGAACAGAGATAGAAAAATGGGATGGGTGGAACACTCTACCTTATTTGACTATTTCTGGGCCAGATTTGAAAAAATAACACCACCTCCCACCCCCAGCCAACTATCAACCCAAGCAGAGCCAGAACCCAGAATACACACACTACTCTGAGATTTAAACTCTTTAAATAGCCTAGTTATTTTGAGTAAATAAAATGTGAATTTGAAAGTGGTTGTCAAAATTGTACAATTTTGGGTTTTATTTACAGTACAGGGTCACCTTCCTGGGCATTGTTTTCTGCCAAAAATGACAATACATGGTCTGTGGGATGCCTGCCACTGTGTCTCCCTGCATCCCGACTGCCTCTCATCTGCCTGGACACAATGCCAGCTGTGAAATACAGTGTGCATGAGCTAGAATCATTGGGACACCTGACTTCTTACAGACTGCAGCAGAAGTGAGTGGGCTTACTGTTACTGTGTTTCTTTTCACAGTCTTTACTACAACTTGATGTGTTTTTCCTATTAAAGGGACTCCTTAGAGGTGAAAATATCTTAAAATCATCTTCCACCCTGAGTCACAGTATTTATGTATTGTATGGATGGAGTATGTATCACATACCCCATCAAGTCGATTCTAACTTGTAATAGCCCTATAGGACAGAGCAGAACTCTGCCATAGTGTTTCCAAGGCTGTGCTCTTTATGGAAGCAGACTGACACATCTTTCTTCCATGGAGCAGCTAGTGGGTTCAAACCACCAACTTTCTGGTTGGCAGCCGAGCGCTTAACCACTGCACCACAGGACTCCTAATGTATTACATAGGGGCTACTTTTCAAAGCAAGGGGCACTGATGGCCCCATAGCCATTTGACTGCTAACCAGAAGGTCGACAGTTCAAACCCACCAGCTGCTCTGCAGGAGGAAGATGAGTCAATCTACTTCCATAAAAATATACAGCCTTGGAAACCCTATGGGAGTCACTGTGAGTCAGAATTGACTGGATGGCAATGGGTTTGGTTTTGGTTTTTCAAAGCAGTCACTCAATTTAGCATAAGATTGTTATGCTGAAAACTAAAGAAAGTAAAATACCTTTAAAAGACCTCTGTCTTTCTACAATATGACTCTTAGAGGTGTTTTGCTTTGTTCATCCTGGTTTCTCCTTTAGTTCTCCTACTACACATGAATAAGAGAGCTGGCACCTCTGTAGGTTCTCCTAACAGGTCTTCCTGCTTCTTCTACCTTTGTGGCTCTAAGTCTTCTCTCAACACAGCAAAAAGAGTAATCTTCCTAAAACA